TGTTCTTACGTTCTTATGTTCTTGAGTCCTGCCCTTGCCATTAATGGAGCTCTGTGGGAACGTGCTAAGACTCTTTGGCAGATAAAAGCCTCTATTGCACCCACTGCTAAAGAGGTGGATTAGACAATATCAAGCTCCCCAGCAAGAATATGATTATTTCTCCACCCACCCTGTCCCAGATTCTCTAGTAGTCGTGGTGGCAAATGAATGATCGAGGCAGTGGCACCCAAAGACTCTCCCAAAAGACAAGGAGTTTAAGAGAATGGACTTGTATGGGACAAAGGTCTAGATCACGGTGAGCCTTCAAATTAAGATGTCAAATTATCAGTCATTATTGGCCAAATATATTTTTCTTAACACATCCCAGCCACAGAAATTATCTTTGATTTATGGTAGGGAACATGTACTACCAGTACATGGTAGTGCCTGTCAGCCCCGAGGGTGTTCACCAACATATGGCAATGGTAGCAGCCCTTCTGCACCATTCAGGAATTGAGATATTTCCTTACCTGGATGATTGGCGAGTTTGGGGAAGATCAAGATCCCATGTCTAGAACAACATCCTGGTCATCAGACATCTCTCTTCTCATCTTGGTCTAAAATTGAAAGTAGACAAATCGACATTACAACCAACAAAAGAATAATCTTTGTAGGAGTGGATCTAGACTCTATTACCACTATGGCTTATATGCTGATGGACAGATTTCTGTCCATAGTCTCCATCTGAAACCCTCCTTTTCCAACCCAAGGACTACAAGCTGCATTTGAAATCTTCTGTTCTCTCCATCAGTACTGTGAGAGTCCATTTACCTTCCATCTTTGTGATACAACTACCAGTAGATGAGTTTCTGTCTTTTCACATCTCTGGGTATCTAGATTTTTAAAGGGCCTCATTCATGTGTACCCGTCTGTGTCTGATTCCGTACCTTCATGGGACTTGAATTAAGTTTTGCCTTGTTTAATGGTTCCCCTTCAAACCTTTTAATAACTTCCTTATCATTGCTATCTATGAAAACTGCCTTTTTGGTAGCAACTACTTCTGCGAGAAGGGTACCACTAGCTGATCACCCTTTCACAAGGACTACATCTCCCTTTGATCGCACCCTAAGTTCATGTCTAAGGTTGTACCTGCATTCTGCCTCAATCAGACCAGTCATCTTCCAGATTTCTTCCCTAAACCTCATTCTAGCAAAGCTGGAGAGAAATGTTATACTTTGGATGTGTTCGGAGTGCTCTGTCCTTTTACCTGGTGGTCACAAAGTCTTTCGGGTCATTGCCTAGACGTTCTGTGGTCTTCTCTGAAGGATTAAAGGGCAACCAGTTACAGCCCCGGGTGTATCCCATTGGATTTCTGACTGTATCAAGCTCTGCTATAATATAGCAAAGGTTCCTCACCTCAGAGGCTAACAGCCCAGTCCCCTAGAGCACATTCCACTTTATCAGCCTTCTTGAGCAACATACTGACAGTGTCAAGTATCAGGGGGTAGCCGTGTTAGTCTGTATCCACAAAAACAACAAGGAGTTGATGGCACCTTAAAGACCAACAGATTTATTTGGGCATCAGCTTTCGTGGGTAAAAAACCCACTTCTTCAGATGCATACTGATAGTGGCCATTCACCTAGCCGCAATGTGGTCATCTGTACTACATTTTTCCAGACACTGTGTTAGTGCTCAAGCTTCCTGAGATGATGCCACCTTCAGCAAGTCAGTGCTGCTGTCTCTCTTCAAGTAATCCAAAGTCCCACCCCCTTTAAGGGAACTGCAGGTGAGTTACCTACAGTGTCATGCATCCAGTCACTCCAAGGAGAAGAACAGCCGGCTGAAGCTAAACCTGAATAAGAAGGAGGCGATGCTGGTGGGCAGAGGAAAGTATTTTGAAGAACTTACAGCCGTGGTGCTGTTTCCATTGGTTGAAGGTACATCCCCACAATGGTCAATTCAGTCTGTAATGTAGGAGTACTCTTGGATTCCTTGCTGATACTGATCGCTCACGTAGCAGCCTCTGTGAGTAATGCTTTCTACTATCTCTGCTTGGTTAACCCCGAGAGACAGTGTTGAAGATCCATTGGTCCGAGGTCAGTCACGACCACTCCGGGAGAAAAGCACACATCTGGTTGGAGAAGGGAAGCTTTATTGCGGGTGGATCCCTGGAATGAACTGGTAGGTCGCCCCGAAGCGTTTTGTCAAAACTGAGGCTTTCCTGCCTGTTTGCCCTTCGAGGGCCCAGGTCGGGGCGCAGACCGGGGTTGCCTCTGCGGGCGTTTCTTATAGTCCCTTGACTTTTTATAAGGGGGCTCATATTTAGAGTGGGTGGCCTCGGTGGGAGCCTGCTGCAGCTTAAACTTGGTCCTGGCCGGGGCCGGGACATAGAAGCCGAGGGTCTTTAGCGTTGTGCGGGAGTCTTTCAGGCCCTGCAATTTCACATCCTCCTGTTCCGCAAACAGGGCCTTGCCGTCGAACGGAAGCTCCTGTAACAGGTTCTCCACCTCGCTGGACAATCCAGACGGCAGGAGCCACAATGCCACCCTCATGGACACCGCGGAGGCCACGGACCGTGCAGCCATATCTATGGTATCCGAGGCTGCCTGAAGGGCTGCCCTGGCAGCAGCCGTACCCTCCTCCACCAGAGCCCTGAACTCCTTCTTGTCACGCGCTTGGAGGGAGTCCTCGAATTTGGGTAGAGAGCCCCACAAATTGAACTCAGATCTCCCCAGGAAACTTAGTTGGAAACTGGAGGATGAATGAACTTTTCTACCAAATAGATCTAGCTGCCGTGAGTCCTTATTTTTAGGAGTAGGGGCTGGTTGACCTTGCTTCACGCTGTGGTTGACCGACTCCACCACTAGGGAGTTGAGGGCAGGGTGGGTGTACAGGAATTCGTGCCCCTTGGCGGGTACAAAGTATTTCCATTCTGCCCTCTTAGAAATGGGGGGCAGAGAAGCCGGGGTTTGCCACAAGGCATTGGAAATCTTTGCCACCCCTTCATGGAGTGGGAGAGCCACCCTGCTCGGTGCCGAAGCCGAGAGGATGTTGAAGAGAGAGTCCGAGGGCTCCTCCACCTCCTCGACTTGAAGGTTGAGGCTTGATGCCACCCTTTTCAGCAGTTCTTGGTGGGCTTTAGAGTCCTCCTGTGGGACAGGTGGAGGAGGGGCCGTGATTGCCTCATCCAGGGAGGACTAGGATGGGGGTGCGGTACTCTGCGTACCCACCAGTGCTGTAGGTTCCACCACTGGGTCCCCCTCCGGGCGCAGGACCGGGGATGAGTGCCCCACTGACTTCTTCCTCGGAGGCTGAGATAGAGAAGCCAACGGTCTCTCCGAGGCACTGGCAAGTGAGCGAGCCATTACCGGGGGCTGCGTCGGGGGCCACAGGCCCCATTGGTACCACGGTGCCAGCCAAGGAGTCCGGTGCCGCTGCACCTGCTGTGGCACCAGGGGAGCAGACTGTTCAGCCTGACTAGCCTGACCCAATGACTGACTGCGAAGGGAGGCCAGGCTGGCATATGACCTGCTGCTATCCCGGGACCAGGAGGAGCGGTGGCATCGGGAACGGTGCCGACCACAAGACCGTGATCCCAGTGTGGAGGAGCAGGAGTGCTGCCAGTAGCAGCTGCTCCGCGATTGGCTCCAGCAGGCGAATCCGTGATGGCGAGGTGCCGGCGATCGATACCTGGGACTGCAGGAGTGGTGCCGCAGTGGGGATCTCGAGCGAGACGAAGAATGGGAATGGCGTTGATGCCTGTACCGCAATGGGCTACGGTAGCCTCTCAGAGATGAGAACCTCTGGTGCCGACTGTCCTGGTGTTGACGGGACATGCTCTTCTCGCGAGGTGTACGGTCTCTCAAGGTGGAGCGATGCCTGGAACCCCTGCCAGTCGGTACCCAGCCATATAACCTGGTGGGGGTCTACGGTGACCAGCGTGGACTGCGCACGGGGCGGTCACAGAGTGGGGAACAGCGTTAGGAACCTTCCCTAGACCGTGACCGGTACCATCCAGTGGCAACTGCGGGGATCCAAGCAGTGGCTTGCCTCTAGACCGGGGAGCCAACGGTGGTGGTGCCCCTGGTACCGGCAGACACATAATGTCCCGGGCTGCCTGCAGGGCCTCCAGCGTGGAGGGCATCCGGATGTCCAGGGAGGCAGGCTCAGAGAGGGCTGGGCTACTCCGCTCAACTTGAATTGGAGGCCAGGAGGCCGATGGGGACCGAGAACTGCCCAACGCAGATCTAGTCTCTCCCCCGGTCGTGCTCCGGTGTCTCGGCGGAGAAGACCTCTTCTTAGCCTTCTTGGAGTGCCCTGTGGACAGGGAACGGTGCTGGCTGGTGGAGGGCACTGAAGGATCGCCATGCACCAACGCTGCGGTGCTCAGCGCCGACTCGGAGCAGCACAATGGTGCCAGGGTCAAGCCCGACTCCATCAAAATGACTCGGAGTCAAATGTCCTACTCTCTCTTGGTCCGAGGCTTGAAGGATCTGCAAATCTTGCAGCGATCGCTGAGATGGGTCTCTCCCAGACAGCTTAAACAGTCCATGTGCAGATCACTCACTGGCATTGGCCGCTTGCAAGTGTCACACGACTTAAATCATGGGACACGTGGCATGCCCCGACCCGGGCACACTAACTAACTCTAAACTAACTAAAAACTACTTCAACTACAGGTACTACTAGATAGGAACTAACGAAGTCCAAGGGGGAAGCTACAGCAAGGCTGGAGCAGAGCAGTTCTGACGCACCTTCACTGGCGGCAAGAAGGAACTGAGGGTGGGAGGAGCACGCGGTGCCCCTTATACCGTGCCATGGTGGCACCATTCCAGGGGTCACAAGAGGCGCTCCCCTATGGGTACTGCTAGGGGAAAAATTTCCGGCACTGGTGCACGTGGCGAGCACGCACCCCTAGTGTGGAATACACGTGAGCAATCACTCGAAGAAGAACAAACATGTAACAGATGTTAGTCACATTGCTTAGTGCACTACTAGAAGTCTTACAGATCCTATGACGATGAGTGTGGTGTAAGATCCTGCATAGAACAGAATAGAAATATGTTACTGCTCAGAAGAGGGCAGACATACACAGGAGACTGCTCTCAGGCACAGATCCCCTTCTGTACGCTCACATCTTCCTCTGTACTTGCCATGGCTGGAGAAATAGTTTATGCTGATTTAAATATTCCTGGAGCCAATTCCTCTTCAAGGCCACCACAACAATCTCAGCACCTCAGTAAGTTGATTTAGTTTCTTATTTTTGCACCAAGGTGGTTAGTCTTTGGTTAGGATTCCATTTTTCTAAGATATTTTTTGTTTGGCTTACAGCAGAGACAGCTTAGAAAAACTGTGTCCAGAGCCAAGGAGCAGCTCTGTGTTTTATGTGTGGTGGGACTTAGCTAATGTGAAATTCTTTACCACTCTCAGCATTTGGGAACTGAATTCCGTTAAGGTAATATAGTGCACTTTAGTTTAGTACAGTGTGTCACAGAAAACTTCATAGCCTCTGACAGTCTAAACATGCAAATACAAGTGCAATGCAATATTGCTGTACTCTGTATGACATACATACATATTTGGGGCATACCAGCAAACTATTGAGGTAACAATACATACTATAGTGGGTTATAGTTGGGGGGCAGAGAGCAGTATATTGGGTGAGTCTGAGAAAGAATGATTGAGCACAAGGAATGTGGGGGACTCATAGAATTTAATTGTTTTGTTAGAGAGAAGGTTAAAATCCACACTTCTGAGAGAAGAGGTGGAGTGTGAAATTAGGTAGGGAGCCAATTATGTGCAGAGGGTCATGGAGACTGGCAGATGGTAGGTACTGAGAGGTGGCGGGGTGGGTGAGCGATGTAAGTAGGGAGAGAGAAGCCTGGTATCTGAGGAATGGAACCAGAGAAGAACCTAGCTAAAGGGGAGTGGGGAGGGAATGACAGAGATAATGAAAGTGATTTTTCTACTGGATGCTGAAATGGACACAAAACTAGGGAAGATTTCTAAGGACAGAGATGCTGCGTTCTGTTTCTGAGCGCAGGAGAGACAGCGAGTCATTGCACTGTAGCTCAGCTAAAGCGTGGACAGCCAGGGGAGACTGTCAAGGAGAAGACAGTGGCAGAGCTGAGAACAATGAAGGGTTATCAGTGTTTTAGGAATATTTAAAATATAAGGAACCATGTGTTCCAATTGAACTTAAAGGATGTAAACCGAGTATCAGAAATTATTTGTGATTCCCCTGAAAAATAAGATTAAACAAGTTAAAAATCTTGATACTTTGGAGGCTGTTTGGGGGGGGGGAAATCATTTAAATATTAAATAGCTATTTTTAGGGTGTATTTTCCATAAGTACAGTAAGGCTACAGATTTACATGAAGAGTAAAATTTTCAAAAGTGCCTAAGTGATTTAGATGTTTCTAAGGATCCCACTCTAATAGCCCAAATATTTAATCAAGCTGTATATCTAGTTTAACATGCTATAGTCAAACATATTATATGTTTACTACCTTCAATTATACTTGAATATTGCCAATATTTCTGGCTTCCTTTATCTCATAAGTTTTCCTCTAAGTATAGCTACAAGTGTATTGTACTTAAAAAAAATTTATCGCTGTATACTTAGACCTTGTGAACATAACTGAATTATTGTACATCTTCTGAAACCATTTCTTACAGAAATACCTGATACCATTTTATTAACAGTTGATATTTTTCAACAGATCTTGCTTTCGTATCTATTTACATCACAGTAATGCTTAGTATAATATGTGGTTGTATAGTCAAATTTAATTCTTGTGAACTGTCATTAAATTGTTTCCATGCATTTTTGGATATTTTCAGACAGGATCTGATCTACTCTTGAAAAATATTTTAGGATTTAGATTCTGCTTGTTACATCAGAGTGATGCCACAGAAGTCAGTGAAGTTACTCCAAATTTACACAAGTGTATCCAAGAGCTGAATTTATTTTTTAAATTGTTTCTCTAGCTGCAGCTATATAATTTTGTTAAGATGAAGACTGACACTATGTTAATGACTGGAAACTTAGGCCTCAATCCTGTGATCTGATCCTTATGGGTGGACCTTCAGTTACACCTGTACAGAATCCCATTGAAGTCAATAGGCACAAGGGTCCACCCACATGGATCCAAGTGCAGGAGTGGGGCCTTAATTCACAGAGTCCAAGGCCAGAAGGGGCCATTGTGATCATCTAGTCTGATGTCCTGTATGACACAGGCAGTAGAATTTCCCCAAAATAATTCCTAGAGCAGATCTTTTAGAAAAAAAATCCAATGTTGATTTTAAAATTGTCAGTGATGAGGATTCCACCATGACCCTTGGCCATAATGTATTTCCTGTCTCACAACTAAGGGCCTGATCCTCCACATGCTTGCAGCCAGGGTGTAGAGCTTTGAGCTGTGGGTTGTACCAAGGCCTGAACCTGCAGACGCTTATGTGCATATTTAACTTTACTCAAATGAATCATCCCACTGAGGCAATAACTCATATGTTTCAGCAGAGGTGAAATCTTTGCAGGATAAGGGTCTAATGCTGAAATTAAAATTTACTTGTCTGATAAGTTGTTGGTGAAATCATGAAGTCACAGTACTGACTTCATATAGTAGTTAAAATTGGAAGATAGGTTCCAATATACAGAAGATCTTGACTTTCCCACTTCCTTTTCCTCAAACCCCCTCTCCTTTTAGCCTGAAATAATTCGTGTTAGTCTGAAGCTACAAGATAATTTTCCTGAGAAATTTTAAAGTAAATTCAACAAGCCATTTTAAAATGAAGACAGAAAACACAACCACCCCCAGCATTAATTAATATGAAATTTGCCAGATGATGGTGCTAAGAGGTTCTAGTTAGGAGCAGAGGCCTCATCGTGATGGTACATATATATCAGACAATAATTTTTCAGTTTTCAGAAATTATTTCGTCTATTTTTTCCCACTTATAATTCCAGAACAATTAGTTCTGTAAAGTTCACAGTAGTGATCTGAATTAGATGTCTGTGAAAATCCTCACCTAAAGATCCACTTTTATGAACAGAAGGGTGCCATTTTTGAACTGACCCAGATTTAACAGTGGTTACAACAGGAAGAAATTTAAGTCTTCTGTAGTGATTATAAACTCTGTGAGTAGCCTTAAGAGTGTCACAAGCTTCATCTGTAGCAAAAAGTTAGTTTCTAACGCTTTCCCTAGTGAACGCAGTTTGAAAATGTAGTGTGAGTTTGGTTTAACGATGTTTCTGTTTACAAAAAACTTAAGGATGAAAATTAAGACACTGAGTCATTGTAACAGCACTGTCACTTCTGTGTACATTTGGATGTTACCTTAGTCCAGTGTTTCGCAATCTTTTTGCGCTGGAAACCCCCTTTGGACTTAAAAAAAAATAATTGTGACTCCGTACCAAGACTTGAAAAAATTGCGATCTCTTACCTTAAATATTATTAAGTAAATTATTAACAATTCTCAGGGCCGGCGTTAGGGGCTGGCACGCAGGGCAATTGCCCAGGGCCCCACACCACGGGGAGGGGGGGCCTGCAAAGCTAAGTTACATGCTTTGGCTCCGCGTCGTGGAGCTCAGGCTGAAGCCCAGGCCTCGCTGCCTGGGCTGAAGCATGTGCTTTAGCTTCATGGGGCCCTCTGTGGTGTGGGACCCCGAGCAGTTGCCCTGCGCTTGCCACCCCTCATGCCAGTCCTGGACTTGCAACACCCCGAAACCCGTCTCCCAGGCTGAAAAACATTGCCTTAGTGGAATGTCTCTGCATTTAGTGTACACCTGGGTGACGAGAATAGGCTCTGGCTCGCTATCTTCATTTCACAGTATAATTCTTGGGAAAGTAGCAAGTAATTAAACTATTTTGGCTGGGATTTTCAAAGAAGCCTAAGGGGTTTCAGTCACCACTGAAATGCCACTAGGCTCCTTTGAAAGTTACAGCCAGAGTAATTTTTAGGGAAATGATAATCCACATGTATGGTGTTCGAGTGGATGCCAAATACTAGCTAGTCGATTTCATTGACAACTGAATACAAAAATGAACAATCAAATAAGACAACAGCTTTGTGAAAAACAGTGTAATATGTACTTAAATCTCTGGTCAGTGTGATGCTGGAGGCCAGACTGCTGGAGGTGATCATCATGGTCCTTTCTGGCCCTAAAAATCTCTGAACCTATCAATTACTTGAAAATCTAAGGCCCCAGCTGGCCTATTTCCATTTCATGTACTATAACCACTAACACATGTTCTGCAGGGCAAATTCTCTGAGTATCATCTGTACAAATCCATTTAGAGCTTGTTGGAGAGTGTTTCCCTCCCCCTAGCCCCAGAAATTTTTTTTACTTTTTGGCAAAACAAAAAGTGTAAACTGAAATATTTCACCTGAAAACTGAAATAGTTCAGTTCTGAAATGCTGCTACGGTGTCTCATGGGATTTGTAATCTGGGTGCCTCGTGTCTCCATTTTCCTCCGTGGGCTGGACTTCCTGTTTGGAATACATTTCCCATGATGCATCATGGTCTCCCCTCTTGGCAGGGGAGGGGCAGTCCATTTATGGCACTGTTGTGTTAATTTTGATGGAATAAACAGGCCCAAAAGGTCAAAGGTGTTAACAAACCCCATCACTGTGTAGCATTGAACAGTGTTAAACAAGGTTAAGGGTTTGACATACAAGTACCTCAGCTTGCTTAGACCCATACATCATTAAAAATCATTTTAACCTTTTATTAAAGATACCAAAAAAAAAAACCCAAAGAAAAGCAGTTGAAGCATTTGAAATATAAAGTATTAAATAAGGCTTTCATTTTAACAGCATTCCTTATTTCCTTTCCCTTTATCTGGAGAGAAAAAAACCCTATTTGACAGTCTTTATTGTATTAAAGATGGTAATAACTGTCCTTTCTAGGAAAAAGAGAAAAGGGTAATAGAGATGGGCTGGAGCTGTTGCTGTTTCAAGTCTGATCCGGATTCTCTAAAAGAGAAAACCAGACAAACAAAAGTGGAGAGAAAAGAACAGCAAAGATAGAAAATGCAACTTCTGTTTTTGATGTTAACTCTCAGTTGTAACCTCACTGCTGCAGAAACACAAGCAGGGCACACAATCATATCAGCCGCTCAGAGTCCTGGCAAACTTGTACCAGCATCGGGCTGTTTAGGACATTATGGCTAGTTGTCTTTTTCTGGTCAGCAGTGTTGCAAAATGTACAATCTTGGCCAGACTCCTATCACACAG